AAATTATCGACGAATGGATCCTGTGACTCTCAGAAAAAATGAAGCTGCAAGACTTCTAGAACTAACATACTACTCGGAAGGTCGCTGACATTTCATTGACAGAACATAATGGTTTTCGTGCTTCTTGCGGCGAATCAGGTAGACGCAGTCCTTGACGTTCCCCAAAACTAAATCAAGACTTGAATCCAGACAGCAAAACTTCCCAAACTTTCTCATGATCGAGACATTTATCGCGGTTTGTTTGGCTCAAATAACATTTTGGATATATATTCTGTTTTTGGCGGTCAAAGATGCTCACGTCACAATTATCGAACCTGCAGTTTGATGGGATGCGGTTTACATTTTACGGAAGAACCACAATCCATTTATAAGTTACGATCAGGGTATCCATTTGGCACTGGTGCTGCCTGCAAAGGGACACCAAAATATCACAAGGATTTCTCCGGTTACACAACGACCTCCTCTACCCATATGAAAATAGTTCAGCATCGGAAGTGACATGCTATGATCGACTGAACGCTTCTTGCGTAGAGTAAAGTTTAACTTCGATACAAAGATCAGGAAGTGAACAATAATAAACCAAACTCGAAACTTCATTCTGTTTCACTGGTCAACGCTGCTTTTAACCTATATATGATTGACATTATGAATGCTCATTCACAGGATCCATGCAAGAATCAGCCAGAAATTTACGCTACTTAATTCCCATATTTGGAGGGAGAACACCTTGAAACATAGCGCCAGATTAGCAAGCCTCCACATACAGCACCAATTTGTTGAATATTTTTTGAATGCATGTAGGCGAGGGTATCGTTCAACTCCATGGCATACAGCTGTCGCATGACAAGAAAACAAATTCTCGTGAGCTCGAGAGGAGTCACTCGATGAGTCAGTCACCAGTGATGTGGATCACTTGGTTGAAGAATGGGCGATGATATTCCTCGATTAAGTGCGCACCACTGATGATTCACAATAAAGATGGATCAGGCTATTGGTTGCTCGCTTGTGGCCGAACGGTCACACGTTGCATCTGTCAAGTGCACCACTGATGATTCCCAATAACGATGGAACAAATGTACATTGCTTCTCGGCTTTTTATCAAAGATTGATCTCTCATACATAAATATAAAAACTTCATACTATTAAAGATACGCTCTGTCGCCCTAGAAGCGAAAAGCAGTATGTCGTCTTGTCAGAAAGAATTCGTTTGGTCGCGTTCTCCGTATCATCTACGCCTCACGAATGACCGTATACGACCAGATTCTTTGTCTATGGTATGTACGTGTGCTCAACAGTCTGAATGGATCGAACACAAAATCATGTTAGTTGAGCTACCTAAACTTAGTGTCTGTCTAAATCAGCTGTCTAAACCAGCTGCGTAGCCTAGTATATGTTGCTGAAAATGAAGTGTTTGAAATTGCTGCAACAGTTATCCATCATAAATGTGGAGGAATTGAAACCGATCAAGACGGTTAAAGGAATTCTGCAACCAGTCAGTTAGTTGATACTTTGCCGAAATTATATAAGTGAGTCCTCCAGAAGAACCCAGAAGTGTCTGGGTTCGTTTCGGTCAAACATTCTCCACCGTTGGATCAAATCATACGGAATCAGACGTACCAGTATTATGCCTGTGCGTTTCAGTGCACTTCGTGTTTACAGAATGGCTTTCGTGGTTTTAATCGACATACCTTTGAAAGTGGTTGTGGAAACATTGAAACTATGACACTCACTGATAATGAAACAAATATATTAAAATGGACTGACCCGAGTTCGTCAGTTATTTGGTATCGTCTTAGCTTGTCCTTCTACTGTTTTATCGCACCTGTAGGTTCAGCTTGCTGTACGTTGGGCGTCGAACTGTTACGGAGATGTTATTCGAAGTTGTGGTTTTCAGATAAGAATACTAATAATTTCGGGCAGAAAAACCGGCCAAATATGGCTTCACTACATTCCCGAGCGACGCAGAACACCGGGACCATTTGGTAATAGGTATACGACTCATCTCGACTGCCTCGTTTTACTTCTGACCCAACCATCACACTTTGTCCTGTTAGTCGTATTTAGCCGAATTGTTGAAACGGTGATTTAAGTCTCATGCATGAATTCATGCCACGAAAATGTCCAACCAAACTCTTCGGTGAAGCCATGCATCCATTTCAGAAATACATAGCACCTTGTGTTGAGCAGGTGGTAGTTTTGTTCACTGCTCATTATATAAACAGTCACCTGGTTGCTCCATATTTCTCTAGTTTGTTAGCCATCTCTCTATATCGTTATCTCTCTATCTATCTATCTATCTATCTA